AATCTTTATGGACAATAGTAAAATCGATATATTATGTATAAATGAAACTAAGTTAGATTCGTCCATCGGCAACAGTGAAATCCATCTTTCAGGCTATGATGTTGTTAGGCTAGACCGTAAGGTTAATGGTAGAAATGGTGGTGGTGTTTGTATGTATATACGAAGTAATCTAAACTTTCGAATTCGTGAAGATCTGGCATGTAATGATCTTGAAATCCTAATAATCGAAATTTCTAATCCTCGTTCAAAGCCGTTTTTGGTGGGTACTTGGTATAGACCTCCAAGCTCGTCCCAACAATTATTTACTTCATTCGAGGAGATTATCGATAAGATAGATGCTGAGAATTCCGAACTGTATTTACTTGGAGATTTGAATTGTAACCTATTGTCAAACACACCAAATTCCAACACGTCTGAGCTTTTGAATATATTTGATATTTACAATCTTTCACAGACAATTTCTGAACCTACAAGAATAACTAATACCTCACAAACATTAATCGATCTATGTATTACCAATAATCTTGATAAAGTAAAAGCTTCCGGGGTTCTTTCTCTTGGTATAAGTGATCATTCTCTGGTATACCTTATTCGGAAATGTACATATCATAAGGCACCGGTAAATACTTTTGTTGAAAAGAGAAATTTCAGAAACTTCAATGAACATGCATATTTGAATGATTTAAATAATCTAAATTGGGAGCAGATTTGTCTGCATAACGACCCTAATGATATGTGGACTGAATGGTTGAATTTATTTATGTCTGTGATTGATAAACATGCCCCACTTAAAAAGAAACGTATAGGGAAACGAAAGTCTCCCTGGATTACTTCACATGTAGTTCAGAAAATTCGCGAAAGAGATTATCTAAAAAGGCAATTCGATATTACACGTGACGATGAAATTTGGTTACAATATAAGAAAGCTCGAAATGAAACTAACAACACTATTAGGCAGGCTAAACATAACTACTTTATCACTAATATTGAGGCTGCACGAAAAGATCCAAGGAAAACTTGGAGACTAGTCAACGATCTGAACTGTCGTAAAGTGAGTGATGTAACCAGTGTCAAGAAAGTCAATCTTGACGGTAATGAAATCACTAATGCGGCTGAAATTTCGGATGCCTTTAATTCATATTTCACTTCGATAGGAGAGAAACTTGCGAACAAAATACCTAGCTCGAATGTTAATCCCGTTTCTTATATTCAATCCACACATAGTGTTTTTTCTTTCGAGGAAATTGGTTTGTCCACTGTAAATTGTTTGCTAAAAACGATTAATGCTAACAAAGCGACCGGCCCTGATAAAATCCCAAGTAGATTATTGAAAATAGCCGCTGATATTCTTTCCCCCTCGTTAACCAGAATTTTTAATAGATCGCTTTCTATGGGGATTTATCCGACTGATTGGAAAATGGCAAAAGTCTTACCGTTATTCAAAAATGGCGACAAATGTGATCTAAGTAATTATCGTCCAATTTCAATTATATCGGCGGTTGCCAAAGTTTTTGGTAGAACCGTTTATGACCAATTTTACTCCTATCTGACAAGTAACAACTTACTGTCGAACTATCAGTCAGGGTTTCGAGCATCATATAGTACCGTTACAGCTTTATTAGAGTCGGGTAATAACTGGTGCGTAAATATTGATAAGGGTTTGCTTAACGGAGTGATCTTCATTGACCTAAAGAAAGCTTTCGATACAATTGATCACGAAATTCTTATACGTAAACTCAAGTGTTATGGTGTGGATGACAATGCGCTATCGTGGTTTAATTCCTATTTAAACAATCGAAAACAGAAATGCTACGTAAATGGCAAACTCTCTGGTAGTCGTTCTATCTCCCATGGAGTTCCGCAAAGCTCTATTATAGGCCCACTTCTGTTTTTGATCTATATCAATGACTTGCCTAACTGCTTGAACGAGGGTTTACCTAGAATGTATGCTGATGATACGAACATCAGCATGCAAAGTAATAAGCTTTCTGAGCTAGAAAATCTTATGAATGCTGAAATAGCCAATTTAAACACATGGCTAGAGGCAAATAAGTTAAGTTTAAATATTGCCAAGACTGAATTTATGATTATTGGATCTCGTCAAAGACTTTCAACCTTTGATAATCAGAATGTGGAAGTATGTGTTAACAATAAACAGATTAATAGAGTGCTGAAGTCTAAGTCATTGGGTTTAACAATTGATGAGAACTTGACTTGGAAATATCATGTTGATAATATCACCAAAAAAGTCTCTTCGGGTATCGGTGCTCTCAAACGAATGAGAGATTTTATTACCACAGAAACTGCAATTCGAGTTTACCAAAGTTTGGTGGAGCCCTATTTTTCCTATTGTGCCCCTGTTTGGGATGGCCTAGGTAAAAGCAAAGCGAAAAATTACAAAAATTACAGAATAGGGCCGCCCGTGTTATTACCCGTTCATCTTATGATATTTCATCAAGTTCTCTTCTTGAAGAACTTAATTGGGAATCATTGTCCCCTAAGCGATTAAAGCAAAAGGCAATCCTCATGTTTAATACTATTAATAAACATACACCATTCTATTTACAAGAGATGTTTTCTCCCAGTGAGAGTGTTTATAACCTGAGAGATTCTTATGGTAAACTTTATGTCCCAAAACCACGCACAGATTATTTGAAACGCTCCTTCAGTTACAGTGGAGCCTCTTTATGGAATGGCCTGCCAGAATCTCTTAGATCAGTAACCTCTCTCGCTGCATTTAAGACAGGTTTAGAAGCCTTCTTAATAAATAATCGATCTGACTCCCACACGGCAATCAGGTAGAACAGTATCTATATTTCTTTTTGCTCCTTTTAAAATATTTTAATATTTTTGTAAATAACTATACTGATGATTTTCCGTGTTTAAATAAAGTTGATGTATGTATGTATGTATGTATGTATGTGTATTTGGATATTTACATTCAAATATTACATTCAATTTCTTAGCACAATTTCAAAAAACTGCGAAACAACGTTGAGAAAAGTAGCCCACATGGAACGTCGCGATGTCTGACAATAAATGGGAAGTATATATTTTGGTCATATTGGAAGGAGGCCTTTGCATGGGACCAAAGATGCAACTCATGTCATTTTCATGAAAAACTGAAAGAAGATCATTTCATGCTCACGCCCAGTTCAAGAATGCGCAACGGGTTAGTTGAGGACGTTCTGGATAAGAAAATGCTACTTCTCATGAAGGTGTGTATATGGTGTACGTGCACGGATTTATCATATTCCTGCCTGTGTAAAAACTACCGCCCAATTAGCGCTTCTCACACCGCCATTTTTTGGGTACTGCCTTGTACGCAATAGATAATGGATTTTGTCCAACTACAATTGTAAGTATAATCATTATAAGTTAATTCCCAGTTAAATATTGGAAACATTTTTTCACATCGCTTAGATTTTTCAGGTTGTCAAAAAAGTACCCCAAAAATGGCGAATTTGGCCTTCGTGGGAAGGCTAATTGGAATTTATATACCATAAATCGTGCCACATAACCTTTCAGTTGGTGCTGAAATGCAATTTGATTAAAATTGTATAGGCCTACAGAGATCATCTTATCAGCGAGGGCGAAAATGCCGACAAATTAGAAGAAACAATTACGTTCCTCACACATACCAGTGTGATGGTGGAACTATTTTCCGACAAATACGCCATTTTTCATGTGAAGGACAACAGAATTCTAAAGCTGCAACGGGCCTTACAATATTTCCACAACTGGAAATTGAATGCCATTACATCTAAAGAGTTTCTTTCTTACAAATCATGGTTTGACCTGCAGTCCATGATACTTGGTTTTATTTCTTTGGTGAAATCGAAGCTAGCTCGTTTCCCAGGATCATGCATCAAGCCGGCGATAGTAAATCAAGATGTTGTTCAAAATCATTTTTGTCAGCTGCGAGGAGCTAACGGACAAAATGACAATCCAACTTACCAAATGGTCCAAGGCACCCAAAACTCTGTTATATTTGGTCAAACTACAATCAGTAAAAAATGCAACACGGGCACTACTACGAAAAACGTTTCGTTCACTGGTTTGCCTAAAGAAAAACTATTCAGTCGACGATGAATAAATTTATGCGTAATAGTAACTGTTACAAGACAAATGCAAAGCCATTATAATCCAAATCAGTGCATGCAATTTGGAGACAATAGACATTTCTCATGTTCATTCATTTTTTGCCCAATGGCCTCGTTTCCATGTTCGGCTGTTTTAGCATTGTATGCGCGCATGAAGGTTATATTCCCATATTTCCTGTACCAAGTGGTTTCTCGTTGATCTTAAGCCAAATCACAAGATTACTCTTAGCCTTACTGTGCACGAAACATGAGTATAAATAAAACACGAAAACGAGGCTATTGGTTAAAAATTGAATAATTATTAAGGTCTATTGAAAATGGGCCTATATTATATAGTGATGGAGTAAAATTCTTCATCATAACGTAGATTAAGAAAGATTAAGATATATATAGCTGTAAATGTAAATGCAAATAGTTTTCATGACAGCAGCTGCCAAATCCCAGCCGTCAGTATAAATATGTAATGTTAATTAATGAAACCGTACTCTGTACTTATAACCGCCGTAATCGTAGTACAGGAATTCGGTCGAGTGCATCGAACTCTGTTGCTTGAATAACATAGGTTGATGTTATCTGATGACGAGGAATATGGTCGTACGTAGGGATTACTTGGGTTAATGCTTTTGACAGTTTACCCTTATGCCAGCTCTTGAGGTATCTTACTCCATACACGTCGCACATGTGTTGTAACTCTGCCTTCTTGTATAGCGTGCCAACATCTTCCTTTAACTCGTTGATGAGGGCCAAGAGACGGATGTGGGACGATCGTTTTCTCTCGCTTCTGTCTTGTTCGATTTGAGCTAGATGAACCTTCATCCGAACTTTTCTTGCTTTTTCTTTTTTCGACATTAACGATTTTCGATGGGCCAGTGATTTCTTTAAATGGTAGTCGCGTCGAAAATCTCGCAAAAATTGGCCGGCACCCATCTTCAAATAGCGCGTTATGACGTCACAATATATCTCCATGGTCAATTCCTAGAATAATTTTTAAATATGTAACAATTAACATTTCCTTGAAGACAATACGCGCGGAACATTTTTAGTCGAATTAATAATCCATATGCATAATCTGTTTATGCTGTAGTATACAGTACCTATATATAAGATTTCATTTCCCCATGCAGTTTATCATGCATGCACACAAATGCTATAGTAACTCTTTTTACCTTGTCAGCAGTACCCTCAGAGTTGATTACATTTTTAAAATGTAAAAAGAGAGATTTACTCCATAAAACTTCTTTGATAGAAGTATCTACCATATCCTTTTGTAAGGCGGCCAACTTGGAAAAATTAATCCTATCAACACGCTCTTGTTCCAGCAACAGAAAGAAGGAGTATGCAGCGTCACTGATATGTAACAAGCCTCTCTCTCGATACTGGCGTGACTCAATTACGTGCAGAGTTTCGGGACTAGTCGTAGACTCCTGCAGAACTTCGTGGTTAACAAGCACGTTGTTTTCAAACAGTTCTATTTTCTTCATTTCGTGCGCTATCTTTCTCCGTACAAGTGATGATTGTGACAACTTGTTTTCATGAACATATCTATAAAAATAAATTCATAGATCGTTTCAATTATTCAATAGATCGTTTCAATTATTCAATTGTTCAATAGAGCTGTTGAATGATATGTTTTTCAAATGGATAAAAAGTGAGCAAGTGAAATTCATCAATTAAGTCCTAAGGGGAGTAAATTTTCAATGGTTTTAGACCCAACTCTCAACGGTGAAAGTATGCGATTCTGACTAACAATTTTCATCGGACTCGTACTTGCTCACTTTTTATCCTTCTGGCATGAAAAATATGCCAATCAACAGTTAAAAGCCTGATCTTTCCGAATATAGTTCGAACACTATCTAAGTTGTACTGATCAGTCAAATTAAATATACCTGCGCGATTTTTCTATTGATTTCCTTATAGCCCATCCTCCAACATAACGTACTTTCCCCCGTCCATCTGCTCCCATTTCTTCAACTTTGAAGGGAAGGGGCTCAGCTTCTTTTGTTCGAACCAAATTACCTAGCTCCTCACTGAACAGTTGAAATATGTTCAATACCAACTCAAAGCCCAAAGTCCTTTGACCATCGTTTATCTCAGACCAACATGATGCCCCAAAAGAACTGATCAGGTCACTTCGATATTCTTGTGTCAAAAACAGTTCGTGCAGTTTTGCGGTGGCAGCAGTGAAGTCCCGGTTTGTCATATGAACTTCGTCTCCATTCTCGGACAAATAGTCTCGGAACAATCCGTGAACTCGGCACCAAAGGATTCTAACTAGTACTTCGAAAGTATCCAGGTTATCGATTCCTAACTGCGCTGCGGACTTGATTGATTTGCTAAAGGAATCATCGTGATTATCCTTCACAATGTTCTGCAAAAAATCTTTAATCGAAAAATTCTGCGGAAGAATAGATAATCGACTTTCAAAGTCACACAAACACAAAAGAACATCTTCCAAGTTGACTGGAATTCCATCATTTGTTTCGAAAAATTTCTCGGCTGAAGATTCTTCATCAGTTATGCGCGCATCGCGCGCTAGCTGCTCGCTCATTCCATCGCATTCATCATCACTTTCGTCGTCCTCGCTACAATGGAAAAAGCTTTCGTCAAGGTGGATGTTTCTGCAACAGCGGAGAGTGGGGTCTGGATCACATTGGTCATCTGCTAGGGACAACAACTCAATCGGTACAGGAAGCAACAATTTTCGTTGGAACCCAATCACCTGTAGAGCAGCTTCTTCCTTTACTCTTGAAAGGGCAACGTAAGTTTGTCCAGATACAAACTCCTGGGCGCAGTGCACGACAGCTGCATTCATGGTTAAACTTTGAGCTTTATGAGCTGTGATTGCGTAGCATGGGGTTAGAGGAAACTGAGTCCTACTGCCCTTGACAACACCGTTCTTGTCGTATTTGAACCACGTTCTACGTTCGAGAGAAACAGTTCCAACTGTTGGAAAACTTACAATAACGCGTTGGTCCTTGCCGTGCTCCGTACCTTCAAGTCCGATAAACTTCCCTCGGTAGCCATTTCTCAACTTATTGCTTATGTTGTAGAGCAACATAACGTTACATCCTGGTTTAAGTGTTAGAACACTTGTTACGCTGTGCTCGAGATTGGCACAACCAGTGTCAGTACTTTGAAGAACAATGAGATCTCCAGGAAGACTTGATAGAACATCGATGTTATGAACCTCTACTGGTAGCTTTCTGAAATATATGTGTAAAACATCTGCCGAACCATCGCTTGGTTTACACTCTCTGTTTAGGGTGTTAAAATATGCCTCCGTATCTTCGGTACATTCTCCCGCTCGAACCTGATCTAACGCTCTCTTCAGCCGAAATTCTGACTCATACTGCCTTTTTACTTCATTTAATTCAACCCGATGAGAAAATGCTTTATTGAACAATTTCGAATGAAAAATTGGGTACCCTGTATCTAACAATGTGCGAATGGGTTTCAACCAGTGAACTCTAATAATAACTGGAAGGCTAACTCCTATGATGAAAGTCTATGATTCGTTGAAGCCGGCGCGCGGGAAAATCAGCTTTCAAAAGGACTAAGGAGAGTTTTGAGGAGTGAAAAAAATTCTGTCAAAAGTTCGTTTTCGAGCAAAAATTTGCAAGAAAAACACTTTTCCCATGGGAATACAACAATGACTTGGGATTTAAACCAAGTTTCCGATTAGTTCCGACTGTTTTACATCTCTCTGCAGCAAAAAGTAAGGAATTTTGCTTTTGTATTTTGAAAAAATGACGAAAGTTTGGATGTGCCGAAGGAAATCTCGCCGTTCAACTAAAAAATATATACTATAAAACATTTTGACAGTCCCAAAACTTATGTTGTACTAAACCCCAGGTATTGTTATTGATCCTGAGCTTTTAGTCCTTGTTTTAGTCGCTCTTAAACATAAATAAATTGGCGTTTTTCAAGTGATGTTATTTTCGTCATCGGCATCTTGTTGGCCACTATGAGCACTTTGAATATGGCAATATTTTTGTCAATTTTCAAACGCTTTTTTTTCGACCTTAAAACGTTCAATCTTCTTGAAACTTCGCATACAGATGTATTTTGCATGGGTATAAAAAATTCCTGAGGTATGACGTCTTAGTTTTATCTTAAACTTCCAAAAACTCAGAAAAAGCAACCTAAAACGCGCGGTTTTTCAGACCGTTCATGCTTATGGTCGTGTTTTTCGCATTTTTTTTGCTAATTCGTGATTTGTTTGCTTTGCGAATATTAAATTCATTTATAATACTACTGATATAAATTAAATTTGGTAGTATAACTAATAGTTTGGGGCAAGATTTTTCTGATCGAAAAATGTGCATATTTTGAAAAAAAAATGTAAAAAGGACTGGGTCTACCTACAAAAAAAGCTTCAAGCACGGCTTCAACTTCCCCCCCTGACTTAGCCTTCCAGTTATTATTAGAGTTCACTGGTTTCAACTGGCAAAAGTCACCGACCAATACCACCTGGATACCACCAAAAGGTAAGTCGTTCTTTGAAATCACATGATGTAACACGTTGACAAGTTCAAAAACTCGTTTACTAGACATCGATATTTCATCCCAAATCAATATATCTGTGTTTTTAATGCCGTCCACGATGTTATTTCTTTCTAACGCTCTCTCAACCAGTAGTTTTTTTTGGAAGTTCGCATGTTTGGAGTCCATACTGAGAATGTACGGTTTTTGCAACACCGTTGTATGATTCACAGGACACTCCACTTGCGCAGACAACGTAGAAATTTCTTCGTTCGGACGAAATTTTCTTAATTATCTCTCTTACAACTGTCGTTTTGCCAACACCAGCTTTTCCAATGACACAAATGTTATGTCCGTTTTCTACAAGTCTTACGACTTTTAGCAATTTAGCTGATCCTCCGTTAACTTTAATGAGCTACCGGCCATCGTAAATGACCGAATCGGCTTCTATAAGTCAAAATAAGTCTGACATTATAAGATATTTATTTGCCGTCCAAACGTTTTACGTTTTTTATACTAAAAACTGACCCAGGTTCATTCCCTAACTTAGACATGTCATGCATAGAGTTCCTGCAGTGCTACTATTCAGTTTGACGATTAATTGGAGGATGAGAATTAATTGAGGATATGCATATAGTACATAAATCAGTGTTCATGAAACTACAACACCTGAAAACATATTTATTTGGTAGGTACTCAATCACCATCAAGGGGGGGGGAGGGGGGGGGGTTAGGTCGAGGTACAAAATGTTCTGCAGATGACAGCAACATGCTAATCTTGTTTTTTTATTTTGTAATAATTAATAGAAAAATGTGGGGAAAAGCTTTTGACTTTTGTGTTCGCGGCATTCCAAGGCAAATAGACTATGACAGATAATTCATATGTTCCGGAAGTGCAAAAATTGAATATTAATTATGACACATGCGTGCGCATATCGAACTGAGCATTCTTTTTGAACTATTGGGAAGCACGCTTTCAAGCTTTTTACAGTTGTTCGACTTTTGGAGATTTTTTTGAAATGAAACGATTATTTTCGGGTTGAAAAACATTACAAACTACAAAGGTGATAGGGTAAGATCGATTGTTGTTGTTTTTACGAATACTTTTCTTGTTTAAAGATATTTTAGTCATGTTTTTTAAAGTTTCATGGATTCGATCATTGACTTGCAAAAATAACTTCTTTATATCAGCATTGTGTGGGTTTTTTAAGTTTAATCTTAACTTTTTTCTTTTGTTTAGGTTAACCGTTTGTGAAAAAATGGATTGTAAAAACGTTTGGACCTTTTGTTGAATGTTTTTTTCAATGCACAAGTACGCCGATGGAAAGGCATTTTTCAGTGGAATCTTTATACATGTTTGATGCTTAAATTGATCGGGCATTTATATTCTTGTGTGAATATTATTAAACGGCATGCTTTTATTCAGCTTTGAAAAAGCGATTTGGGATGGTGCGAGTATTAGTAAAAAACCAAAAGACGTCTACATGCAGCTTGGAGGCAGAACTGATAGCTATATACTTCAGGTAAATGTGTATAAATATCTAGTATGAGGCGAGTTTCCTACTTTTGGTAGGAAATAAAGTCTAATTTTTTTTTCTATCCGAGGCTAAACAATATTTAAGTCTTCTTTTTTAAAATTTTTAAACGCAAGCCTTTTGCAAAGGCAAGATGCTTCGCGCCGGAGCGAAAGTTAGCCAGGGCCGGCATAATTACATGCATATACTAGGAGTATAAACGTAGAGCCAACGTAGGACTGATTTAAAATTATTTTCATCCAACTACCGATGCTTTAGAGGTTTTGTGTGTATGTCAACTTACCACAAAAATGTGTTAACATCGTTGCAAAACCCACTTGGCTTCTTGGTCGCCATATTCTCGCACTTTATTTTCCGTTTTCAGCGTTTTCACTGTTACGAAAAACGATGGAAATTTGTCAATTTTGTTTACTATCAAGCTTCGTAAAGACACGGAATAAACAGGTATGTTATTCAATGCTATTTTTTGTTTGTTTACAAACAGTATATAATATATATCAGCTATATCCTTTGCTACTCTATACGTAGTTCGCCTTTGTGTTTCAATGTCGCTAATATTAAAATGTTTTTTTATGTTTTCAAATTTGATAGTATTCAGTCAATTATAGTAAACATACCTGAATTATACGTCCACGGAGTTTCTACTTCACATTTTTCCTTTTGACCTGTTTTACAATGACTTAAAAAGTTGTATACGCACGGTATTTTTCGCAATTTAATTTCCGACAAAAGACGCTATATAGACAATTTTGTTTGCTTTGTATTTTATCTACTATCTTGTTTCTGGTTGAGTAGTTCGCCCCCCCCCCCTGTTTCCAAATTTTCACTGCAAGAAACGTCATAAACTGTCTATTTTGTTGACCAATTGGATCAGTGAGATGCTTTTGAAAATATGACGAATACGCCAACCTCTGGCATCCCGCATAGAGACAAAAAATCTCCTCAAAACCTCGCGAATATATGCAATTTTTCTTAGCTCTCCGGCAATATTGAAGCGAATTTTTGGTGTGAGTAGATAGTAAAATTATCAGGCTATCATGTGTTATTATTTTTTATTGTGTTTTACTTCTACAACAAAGTGTTTTGCTTTTTGTTCGAGTGGTATGTTCGTAATCCAGTATATATAGTTGCCAACCTTATGTTATTATATATTATCAATTGCTTTTCAATATGGCGGCGCTTGCGGCGCGCGACAAAGTTAAGAGGAATAGGGCGAGTTTTAACACCGATCGACATTTAGAACATTCTACAACAATTTTTGGGCTGCCTATGCTGGAACGCTAACTGCAGATAAACATGCCCATACTTGCCTGAAGCCAAAATGGCGCTTCTCGCGAGCACGGCCAGCAATAAATTAACTTTCAAAAGGACTGGGGAGAGTTTCGAGGAGCGGGAAATTCAGTCAAAAGTTTGTTTTTGAGCGAAAATCAGCAAGAAAAAGTACTTTTTTATCGAAAGTCTTCAACTTTAAAGATTCAAACCTGGTTTCCTGGATAGTTCTAAGTATTTTACATCCACTAACAGCAAAAACTTCCTGGGTAACAGCTTGATATTCAAAATATTACACAAGTTTGAACGTGCCGAAAAAAACTTCGCACTTTGACTCCTGAAAAAAGAACTTTATAACTGCTCTACGTTCTGGAAACATGTTTTGTATTAAATTTCAGGTATTGTTGAAAGTTTTTAGCTTTTTTCCTTGTTAAAATACAGCTATTTAGTTGTCGAAAACAGACATCTTTTTGGTGGCGTATTTTCCACTCCATACGTACATGGCGGCCTTCAATTTGGCTTCAAAGATGGCCGCCAAGTTATCCTGATAGTAGAGAAAGTTATAACTTCTACGCAAATTACATGAAGTATTACACAAAAAATAAATATGGAGGTCGATGTGAAAGAACAACAGGTTGTCAAATCTTTAAATGATCGTCGTGATTACAGGTATGTAATGCCAATTTCTATCGTGTATTTTCTTTGGGTTACTAAAGTGATTGTTTATTGTTTCTTTAAAATGTCATGCAGTAATTTAATGCATCTTTGAGAAATCCTTTTAGGACAGCACACCCTGCCAGTGCTGCCACTGCCACACGTGTTTATAAAATTTATTGACTTATTGTCAATTATTCGGTTTATATAATTGCTTCACGGCTAAAGGTCCGACAACGCTTTAAAAGCTAACACTAAACTACTAAAGCCAACTCTAACCCTGAAAACTAACCCTAATGGCCTATTGGCCTAACCCATAGCTTGATTGGGTTCTGATACCCATCAGCTCAAGATCTTCGGTGGAAAGCATAGCCACTTGGCGTGGCACAAAGGAGTTTTTGGTGTTGAAAAATTAAAATGCAGTAGATTGGCGGGCTGGCGGACTGTGTGTGTTTAAGAAATTGTGTGCTTTTGGCGGTTTTTCTAAAGTTGTAATTTTCCTGGCGTAAATCTTTGGTGGGCGAAAATGGAGAAATCCAATCAGGACCCATAGTGGAAAGTATGCTTTGGCTGCCGCAGGAGACTGCCGCAGTTGACAAGACCTGATGCATTCTATCCTGTCGCAATGCCAATAATATGCTGCCGCAGGTAAAAAAATTCAAATGACTACACACAATACCGCTGACCACTAAACAGTAAACATTGAAGCCATCACTCTTAAAAAAAGACATGCTATTAAAATCAACACAGTTTTATTGTCGAATAATTAATAATACATCTTGAGATGTGTTGGAAGGGTGGGTTGACTACAAAATTTTTGTAGTTTGCTATAACTACAACTACTTCAAAAATATGTAGTCAGCTACAACTAATGCTGCTTTTGAACAAAGGTAGTTTGCTACTGACTACAGCTACTGCTTAAAAAATGTAGCGAACTGTTTCGCTGCGCTATATTTTTAAATTTTACTGTATTTGGAGCATCTAGTAACTCAAGCTGTAATGTAATCTATATGGCTATAACAAATCGACTTATGAGTAGCAACAGTAAACACAAAGCAACATTTTTGTAAGCACTACAGTGTTCAAAAGTGTAAATTGATTATTGAGCATTGATTTTAAGCAAACTGTGTTTTTGCAAATTTTAAAAAGTAGCGAATAGCGATTTGCTGTTTGAAAAGTAGTCAACTACTTTGGCTACTTTTAGGCAGAATGTAGTTCACTATAGCTACAGCTACTGTTTTCAAGAACTAGTCAAAAACTATACTGGCTACTTGAAAATTGTAGTTTGCTACAGTAGCGAACTAGTGATAACTACTTCGCTACTACCCACCCTTGATGTGTTGATACAACACACCACTGGCGTGTCACCCAAATTGTGCCGCAAGTATTTTCTAAAATATTTCTGCCGCACTATCAATTTTACAGTTTTTCTGCTGCAAGATTTTGCCGCATCAGCAGTTTTTGGCCTTTGCCTGCCATGGGAGATCTCCTGTTAAAGTGCCCAACTTTCCACTATTGACCCTAACAGGCCTATAACCTAACCTATTAAACCTAACCTAACCCAAAAGGGTAAAAACCACGAAGAAAAAAAAATTAGTAAAATAGACGCTTCGATCTGCGAACTAGCTCATACAATGCGGGTGCCTAAACTATAACACTACGGAGGATTTGCTTGAAATTAAATTAAATTTGCACGCTTTTATTTTTAACGAGTTTTAATGATTATGGAAATGTCGGACCTATAACCACTTTCTTATATAAACGTACGTAACCTACAGTATGTAGGTGTTGTGTTATTTGTCTGGTCACTGAAAACCTAGAGCTTTGGCTAATACAGTAAATAACCAGGGATTATTTCAGAATAAAACCTGAAACTTGCCCACACATATCAACTATCATGATCTTAACTGATCAGGCCACTTATTTGCAGGTCAATCCTGGAACAAGCACATATACCACTTAACCACTCGACTACCTTGGAATATTAACAGTTCATTATCTACTGTTTCAATTATTACTGTTCAAATTATGTAAACAAAGCCTACGCATGAGTAGAACCGGCTTGAAAACCACTTTAGACTTGAATGCCAGTTGCAGTTTCTCCCAGCCTGCCCTGTGTGGATATACACCCAGAGTGACATAAAAAAACAATTAGTTTTTACCTGCTCACATGAATTACATTTTAAATCTTTGATATTTTCAAATTAGAGTACTAAAGCTGGACAATGGTTTAACTGCATTATTGATATCAGATACATTGAAGAAAAACAAGAGGAACAGTCAAACAACACCTGACCAACAGATAAGTGGAACAGATAATGAGGAAATTTTGAATGAAGGTGACAGTGATGGTGACAGTGAAATGGATGGTGATGCCAGTGAAACTTATGATGATAGTGACCATGATGATGGTGATGAAAGTGATGGTGATGATGGTGATGAAAGTGATAGTGATGATGTTGGTGAACATGGTGGTGATGCCCATGGTGATAAGACAAAAGATGAAGAAGACATTAGATCTTCTAAGAGAATGTCCATCAGAAGAGAAACGAAACTGGTGAGTATTTTGAAATGGCTGAATGGTAACAGCCAGGACAAGTCAGTCTTGAAATTTATTAGGCAGCAAAACATCAGGAAAAATTTCTTTGTGACTGTGCAGATTAGTAGTGGTTGCTTTTAATGTATTTGACAGGTCAATTGACATATAATTATAATTTATAGGCAGCCGGTGCTCTCTGTGTTGGAGTTGGAAGTTTTAGTGATCCAGAAGAATTACCTGGTCTTGCTCATTTCCTAGAACACAGTAAGTTCATGTGCACATGTTTATTTGTTTTTTTGCCTGATCTAACAATGTGGTTATATTCAACCAACAGTGGTGTTCATGGGAAGTGCAAAGTATCCAGATGAAAATGCATTTGATGCATTCATCAAGAAACACGGAGGGAGTACAAATGCTTTCACAGATTGTCAAAGAGTAAGTATGTTCCAACACTATTCAGAATATTGGTGTTAAGACTACCATGTAACTGTGCACACTATATGTTACTGGTGACAATCGCACATACTATGAATCAATACAGCCTGTCATAGGGAGTGATGAGTCTAACTGAGCTCTGAAGCAGTCTGCAGTAGTGGCTAGGGTGGCATGTCATCCAGGGGGTTTGAAACCAAAATTTGTTGAAGGATGGATGAGCACCTTGTGAGCTGTCAGCCAACGTACAGTTGTTGTTAGTCTGACACCAGTTCTAGCCAGCATTGTTTCTGAGACCGTCTACTGTATTCTACATTCACAATGTTGATCAGTTCAAAACTTTGCTCCAAGGGATGCTGCCTTGCGTTCAGGGGCGAAACTTGGGGTATGGGGGAGAGGGTGTGGCACCCCCTCCCAAATACGAATCATCCCGATTGGCAGGGCAATCGAAGATTATGATAGAATGTAGAGTTATTAGGCAACTTATTACAGCTAGCAAACAATAAGCAGTTCGTATGCATGCATGTACATTGGCATCGGCAGTTCAATTATACACGTAGTGTAGTGATGTATTGTATTAGCGCCGGCGCTTCAGGGCATCATTGGTTTTGGCAGAGCATCATTGGTTTTGGCAGGGCATCATTGGTTTTGGTAGGACAATGCTGCTAGACACCCCCTTGGCCCTAATTAAAAGGGGCTAGTTTCGCCCTTGCTTGCGTTGCACAGCCTCACACAGTTTAGTTCTTCATTTGATGTGTTTAATTTTTTTTAATCTAGTAACTTAAGGCCAAAGAAAAAGTATTCTGTTTTTGGTCAGCGTAGCGCGCACGCGTCCTCTTTGACTATGCGCGTCAACGTTTTTTTTCATAAAAATACCTGAACATTTAATATTATTCTATAATAGTTCTCATTAAAGGGGCAGTATGATCAAAATTTTTAATTTCTTAAACGAAAGTGCACGTAAAACTGTATAATAACTTGTTTTGAAGATTTTTGTTCCCATGCTTAGTTCTTGAGATATTTCATTTTGTTTGTAACCATGTGACGTCATTTACTCAATTACATATGTAATGATATATCAGTAATTGTTGTGTATCTTTGCTATTTTTATCAAAATATTTCGCGTGGCGCGTTTGTTAATTTAACCTGCATCATTAAGCATACTGTGTTTTTTAACAAATCGATCAAAAATAGCAAAGATACACAACAATTACTGATATCCCATTATATATGTAATTGAGTAAATGACATCACATGGTTACAAGCAAAAGAAATATCTGAAGAACTAAGCATGAGAACAAAAATCTTCAAAACAAGTTATTATACAGTTTTACGAGCATTTTCGTTTAAGCTTTGGTTTAAGAGAATAAAAATTTTGATCATACTGCCCCTTTAAACATGTAAACTTGGTGACAGTTTAACTTTAAGCATAAAAAAATAATGTATGCACTTATAAAAATAGGTACGCGCTGCGTACATGTGGGTAGCCTGCATTAATTGTTGTTAAAGCTGGAGTAATACGCGCAACAAAATTGCTGCAACAAAATTGCTGCAACAAAATTTCTGCAACAAAATCTGATTTCAACGCATTTTAAAGTAGAAATGCTGACAAAACATTTCAATTGCAATTTTGTTGCCCATATTAGTATATTACTCCACATTAATTGCTATTGTCAAATTCCGAATTTACTGAATGAAAGTATTAAGTAAATTGAACACAGTTCAAATATTACACACACATTTAATCACATACTGAACATCAGATATGATAAAAATACGTAAACGACTGTTACGTGCATTTTTCAATAAGCATGAACAGATATAAGAAGTTGCATAGTATTTTAATGTGTCAAAAATAATTTGCACACTGAACAGACAGAACAGTACAAGATGTATACGAAACAAAATACTTCAGACGCCGAAATACAGACAGTACGAAAAACACTTAAGACAAGAACAGTTCTTGTTCAAGGACAGCATGCATCAAAGACAAAGGATCAAGTTTACAGGCTGCGTATATACAATTTTCGTGAAGTTTGAGTTTCAAGGATAGTCCATGCAAAGATCTAAGGACGATGTTTTCCGGCGGAATTGAAAAAGATCAACATATTCTTTATTTAGTGATGATTGAATTAATTAAACAACGACATAATCGATTCCATAATCATATATATTCGTAATGACATTCAACTTGCTTTCAATATTCGACAAATATATCCCAAAGACTTCGTGCGCTAATATTCCACTGCCTAATCCTTGTGTAAACCGTGCTTGGCTTTCTATTTGCCTTAATTTACACATTCGACTAACCCGATTCGAATGACACTGGCCTTACAAACATTATGTAAGCAACGACATACTCGATTCTATATACCATTATATGTTCGTCAACATTCCTTCGATATAGACTAACGTAAATATGTCCAATCGTCGCGCGCTATATCATTAATTACTATATTTTTATAATACGTATAAAATGTTTGATCATGAAACCACGGTATCAAACTGATATGTCGTGTTTAAATATGACATTACACGATATAAAACAGATTCCGTGCGCTAATATTAACCCCAATGACCCTTGTACAAGCTGTGATTATAAAAACAACGACATATTCAATTCTATATGCGTTGGAAATGACTATCGACCTGACAAAACATATTACAATAAAGACTTTACTAAGAATTTATACACATCGCTGTACAGTATGAGCGTTAGTGAACTTAGCCTATGGTCTATAGACGGTTCGTATTTCAAGGATAAAAGGAACCGCGCAGCAGGACACCGCGGACACGAAGGCTACAGAGCCACAGAGCCACGGAAGATCGCGCTTCAGTCTCTCACATAGTGGTTAACTGCGCATGCGCGGCTACCCACAAAAACTAGAAATGTACTCACTATATTAGTTCTGAAAAAAGCTTTCTTTTGGAAAACGTCAATTTTGGACAGACAAACTGATCAGAAACAATACTTTTCCCCCAAACTCTTTTGAAACGTTAGGTTTCTTAACGCGTTTTTTGTGTTTTGCGTGTTTTGTTCCATTAATTTGCTGCAATGTAATTAAGCGGCTGTAATGTATATTTTACAATATACAGTAGGCCTATTTGCATATTTGCATGCAAAGTGACGTACAGTGTACTTTTAGGAAGGGTGTATTGATTGAAATTTATTCTTATAAATTATTCATTTTCAGACAGTTTTCAAATTTGAAGTCCGTCCCAAATACTTGAAAGAATCTTTGGACAGGTATCATGACTTGCGTTGATATTTAATGATTGTTGTATTGCTATAACACTGATAAATATTACTTTACAAACGTTTACTATATACTGTCATTTTGATTTAGGTTTGCCCAGTTCTTTGTTTCTCCATTGATGAAAAAAGGCAGTATGGAACGTGAAATTAAAGCAGTGGATAGTGGTAACTATGTTATTTTCTGCATCTATTTCTGTGAGCACTGCTGTTAAAGGAGTTTTAATGCATTATTTTAAATGAAAATTGCTACTTATAGAATTTAGAATGAGCTATCAAGATGACAATTCAAGAAAAATGCAACTTTTTGGTAGTCTGACAACTGAAGCTGGTCATCCGTTTGGAAAATTTCTTTGGGGTTAGTTGTTTTTCATTCCATTGTGATATATCAAGCTATTAAATAAAAAGATTGCGGATAAAAATCCTTAACATGTGCGTGAATGGATGCCCAACGAACCGGACTCCATTTATAGTACTTTGCCCGACGAACTGGAAATTGAATGCCGATTTACACCTTAGCTGTAGAACAAAGTAACGCTATTTATGCCTAAAGTACATACTGTGAGGCATATGCTAGGGGTTTGTACTCTTCAAAATCCATAGTAGAGAGTATGAGCAAGACAACGAATTACGACGACGAATTACGTACAATCTTCTCCCGTCTGCGCATTATCTTGCGCATAGTGAGTTTCCCACACTCAATCTTACAGAACACCGCGGAAAAACGTCTGCGCATGCACCAAATTATGAAAATATGGCTTGGAATTTGAATATCAATTTCTGAAACAAAAACATGCTTATTAATTGGTCAAAAATTAGTAAAACAAACGAGAAAATATAGCAAATGGGTAGACTAGACATTAATTGAAAGCGTCCTGGCATTTAAAGTATGGAATGAAATATAATTCATGTAAAAAAATGTTGATTTTAACGGACACGACTTCGAAAATTTTTACAAAATTATTCAAAACAAAAATTCAAACTAAAAAGTTAAGAAAACTCTCGAAAAGTTAAGCTTCTTAACCCACTCAAATTGTAGAATAAATCCTAAAGTTTAATTATTGTGAACACGCAAATTTTTTATATTTGGCGACACAGTTTTTTTTAAAGAAATGTATCTCAAACGAAAATTCGGAAATTGTCATTGCTTAGTTGATAAACAAAATGTTTCAGACGATAAATTTGTCAACAATCACCTTTAGTTCATGTTTTTGTACAATACAATTTCTTTAACCTTCTGGCTGTATTTCTAGTTTTTAGAATGACATGTTTATTTTTGCGCTTGAAATCTGGCTGTAAAGACGCACAATGAAGTCACTCCTTTTTACCGCCATTTTGAGCCTTCGAAAACGTTCGGAACAGCTTCTCATCAAGTTCGCAATACTATTACAGGTAAGGTTGACGCATGCGCAGACGTTTTTCCGCTGTGTTAGTAAGTCAAGACTATTTTATTGATTTTTATTCTAAAAGACCTAAAACTGTCTAAAAGACCTAAAAGATAGTAAGATTTTAAATTCTTGTACATTCTAGGAAATGAAGAATCACTAAGTACAAACCCTCAAAAGTGGGTAAGAAAATAAACTAAATATCTATACTACTGTAGTCACACGTATCGTATACTACACGCATCATGTCCTCGAAGACATTTCCAAATTTCAAAATCCGCCATTTTGGGGCTACTGTATGTCTTCCTTCGTCAAAGAATCTAGGAAAATCAAACCAGAATGAAACCAGAATTGTCAATTGTACTTAAGAATCGGCCAAATGAGTAAGGAGGCGTATTAAACTGTTTTAAAAAGGATTTTTCCTGCATAATAATGTCAGTAAGATTCAGTTTCTCTTGCGTTTTTCTTCAAAGGGAATTGACATCAACAACGCTTTACAGTTATTTTGGAAGAAAATGTATTCATCACATCAAATGACATTGGCTGTCATTTCTAATGGTAATAACTATATAAGTTATACTGTACGTCGGTACTTCGGTATTTCCTCTAAGTGACAGCGGTTTGTATAAATAGGAGATCGGAAAAATTACATGTTCCATATACTGTACTAGTTAATATATATATTTAGTATTTTTGCACAACTGAACATAACAAATCCTACACGTTGATTGGTCAAATTTGACGTATTAAGTTAGAGTTATAAACCGAGAAGGAGGTTTATAATTGATATATAATATAGCCCCCGAGGACGCGCAGCGTCCGAGGGCAATATATCAGTTATAAACCGACTTTCGAGGTTTATAACTAACTTATATCTCATTTGTGGAGGTTTTCTAACATATTTTGTCATTTTCAAAAATTTTGGATGAAAAATTCTCGCGTTTTGTCGAAAAGTTTGATGTAATTATTTATTCAAGGTACAGTATATTAGCTAGTTATAAACCTCGGACGATCAAAGAAAACCGACACAAATGAGATATAAGCTGCTATATTCACCTACTGTACAGGTGAATATAACAAAACCGAAATTTTCAAAATGGCGGCTAGTTGTTTTATGGAAGTAATACTGATAAAGAAATAAGCAAAATTAAAATAAATTCAGTCCCCAAAACACAAAAGACTTGTGTAAAAATACTAAAACAATCATTCGCCTCAGGCTCGGTGATTATCGGGGAATATTCACCTCGACTTCGTCTCGGCGAAATTTCCCCGATAATCACTTCGGCGAATAATTGTTAAATATATAGAAGTGATCACGTGACAAAAATAAACCAATCACTCAGATGGACTTAGTCAATACAATGTTATAAGTACCCTTTTTCCCGATAAAACAATGGAAATGTGCCCGTGTAGTTGTAGGGAAGGCTAGCGAAGAAGCTAGCGAAGAGTTAAGCCAGGCCTGTAACAACAACATGGCCACGTTATATTTAGCTCCGTTGAAATCAACATTATTAATACTTTTAATAACTTCTTTGGAATCGTGGTACGGTTTAAAATACCCTAGATCTATCACAGAACCTTTCAGGGATGTCGAAACTACAAATTCAACGGCGCATCAGCAACTATTCTTGCCTTTTTCAAATTCTTTAATGACAGCGAAGCGAATGTCGAATAAATCGAAGCTTCGATGCAGACAGTTCAGATGGCATAAACATGGCTATATTAGCCTAGCTGTACCCGACTCGGAACCTGTTATCAATATAACCATATACATGGACATTTCGCTTAATCCTGGCCCAGAAACTGGGAATGACACAGTATGTAATTTAAGTTTGAACGGAAGAAAGACGGCATCTTGTATTCAACCGCAGCATGCTGTTGGTAGCCGCTTATCTTTCTCTCCGGACATGTCGACGAGCTTACGCCGTAACTTGGAGTGTCGTACACACATGGCTTGCTCCCAATTCCTGACAGACCTCGAGAATTCAGGCTTATTGCATTGTTATGGGAAGGCTGGGAGACAACAAGAAAATATACTATCTGATTATAAAAAGAACAACATTGAGACCCTCGTCACGCATCGACCACCATGCAAATCTGCATATGCACAGAATAGAACAGTAAATGAAAACAACATAATAAACATAACACTGCTCCCTGATACTCACGCTGCAGATATTAACAACAATAGGATCGGTGAACTGTTTACACTATGTGTACTTAATGCACAGTCACTTAACAACAAGGCTGCTCAATTTATCGACTATGTTGTTGATTGCAAAGCAGATATTGTATCACTCACTGAAACTTGGTTTACAAACACTGAGTCGGCTACTAGAGTATTGTGCACGCCAAATGGATACAATCTCCTCGACCACCCCCGCTCTAATCGTGTAGGTGGTGGGACAGGAATTTTATTTAAGGAGAATATTACTGTCAAAAAACTGGCTGCTGGCGAACTTCGTTCCTTTGAATACTCTGAATGGAGCGTTGTTAATGGATCTCGCCGCCTACATTTAATAATTGTGTATCGACCACCGTACTCAGACGCTCATCCGGTGACTACAAGTGTATTTTTCTCCGAGTTTACCAACTTCTTGGAATCAATTACCTTTGTCCAACGACCCTCTCCTAATAACGGGTGATTTCAACATCCATGTCGACTGTACGGACAACTTAGATTCCATTAAATTCCTTGATCTCCTTGAAAGTACCGGACTTAAACAGTATGTCAGAGGCTCCACTCACTGCTCTGGCCATACCCTTGATTTAATAATCACCAAGCAGACTGATAATATCATCACCAGCATTCCGAGGGTTGACGATTTGTTTTCTGACCATAACGCTGTTCTTTGTAACCTTGATTCTAACGCAGTACCACTAACACAGAAACATATTTCTTTTCGTAAACTTAAATCTGTCAATATCGAGGCTTTAAAAGAAGAAATATCCTCTTCCGACCTCTGTAAAAACCCACCATCCAAGCTGATAGACCTGGTTTCATGCTATATTAGAGAGTTTGAGCAAGACAACGAAGTACGAAGACGAAGGCATACTTGACAATTTTTGCCGTCTACACATTATCTTGTGCATACTGTGTTGGACATCACTAGTGGTTGCTCAACGTGTCTTCCCATGTGTCGCTGTTTATGAATACTGACCATAATTCTTCCCCTGATCCAGAAAAAAACAGCGAGACATGAAACTATATCCCGTCTTTTTCCTTGTGTTTTCGTGCAGAACGAAGTTCACAACAAATTTCGCCAAAATATTTGTTGTGAACGAAGGCCGAAGAACGAAGACGGGATATGGATTCATGTCTTGCTGTTTTATCCTGATCAGGGTAAGGATTTGGGTCAACATTCATAAACAGCTAGACATGAATCTGTAATCTGTCTTCACTCCTGACCCTAAACTTAGAATGCGCAAGATAATGTTCAAGACAGGCAAAAATTGTCAACACGTCGTCGTCGTCCGACTTCGTTCTCTTGCTCAAACTCTCTAATAATACCTTGATGACTGCTCCAAATCATCAAGCGCCACTGATCTCCAAGACTATTACCACCAGGCCTGCGGTCCCATGGTACAATGATGAGATTAAATGTGCAAAGCGTTTGAGAAGGAAAGCAGAAAGGAAATGGAGACGTACTAAACTTCCGACTTAAAACTGCGAAAAATCATACAACGTTTCTTATGAACCAAGCGCGGCAAAATTTCTATAGACAGTTTATCTCAGAGAACAGTCAAGATCAGAGGAAACTATTTCGTGCAACTAAAGGTCTTTTTAGACATGATTCTGATCTTGCCTTTCCCCACTATAACGACAGCAATGCTCTCTCTAATGATTTAGGACAATTCTTTGCTCAAAAGATTATCAATATTTGCTCTGAACTTGATACAGCATCAACCTATGAACAAGCAGTTTTTTCTGACATGCCGTCGGTCTCACTGAACAGTGACCAGATTTATCAAGAATTTTCTCCTATGAGCGATGAAGATACTGAACGGCTAATAACCTCGTCAAACAAGAAATCTTGTTCCTTGGATCCTATCCCAACTAAATTGGTCGTCGAATGCCTGGATGTTCTTCTGCCTGTTATTACCAAAATGATTAACCTTTCACTAGAGTCTGGCATTTTCCCATGTGTTTGGAAAGAGGCTGATGTCCAGCCAAGACTCAAGAAGCAAGGCTTGGAAGTAATATTTGAAAACCTACGACCTATCTCCAACCTCCCATACGTTTCAAAACTAGTCGAAAGGACAGTTTACAATCAATCCCATAATCATCTATCAGTTCATCATTTGTACCCTGGTAATCAATCGGCATATTGAGAATTTCATAGCACCGAGACAGCACTACTGCGTGTTAAGAACGATATACTTATGAACATGAATAGGCAACACGTCACTTTACTTGTACTGCTCGACCTCAGTGCTGCGTTTGATACCGTCGATCATGTTCTCCTACTTCAGCGCCTGCAATTGAAATTCGGTCTATCTGGAACTGTTCTTAAATGGTTTACATCTTACCTTTCTCAGCGAACACAAAGAGTTACAGTTGGCGGTGTGTCTTCCGAGAAATTCAAAGTTGATTGTGGTGTTCCTCAGGGATCGTGTCTAGGTCCGCTTCTGTTCGTTCTTTATGTAAGCGAACTACTTGAGTTAATAGAGCGTCACCTACCAGATGCACATGCTTATGCCGACGACACCCAGCTTTATATCTCGTTTCGCGCAGATTCTCGTATCGACCAAGAAACTGCAGTCCGAACTGTTGAGATGTGCATTGATGACATCAAACGATGGATGCTTGCTAATAGACTGAAACTCAACGAGGGAAAAACTGAAGTAATTCTAATCGGCACGTGGCAACAACTCGAAAAAATCGACTTCAACAATATTCGTGTTGGCAGCAATGTTGTTACTTGTGTTGAGAACGCCAAGAACCTCGGCTGCTGGTTTGACTCGCAGATGAAAATGGACACCCATGTTACTAAATGCTGCAAAGCTGCCTTCTTTCACCTTTATAACATTAGACGTATTAGGAAGTTCCTCGATCAACATACAACTCAGATTCTTGTGCAGGCTTTCGTTATAAGCCGCCTGGACTACTGTAACAGTCTTTTTTATGGCCTTCCTTCAACCCAATTGAGGAAATTACAAGCTGTTCAAAACGCGGCAGCCCGGCTTATCTGCAATACTCCTCGGTTTGATCATATCACTCCTGTCTTATATGATCTTCATTGGCTCCCGATTAAGTCCCGCATCGACTTTAAAATCCTTCTTATTACATACAAGGCCCTAAACAATCAAGCTCCGACGTACATTAAAGAGCTCCTCTCAATTAAAAAACCCACCAGTTACAACCTTAGATCCCACTCTGATCCGTGTCTACTAGAATGCCCCAGACTTAAAACTCTTAAGACCTTGGGTGATCGATCATTTTCTCTCGCTGCCCCAACTTTGTGGAACGCTCTTCCCAAAGCTATCAGGATTGCATCCTCAACAGCTACATTTAAAAAGTTACTAAAGACATTTCTATTCTTAGAAGCTTTTAATTAATGCTTGTGCATGTTCCATTTTTACTTCTAGTTATCGCTGTGATACTTTTATAAATTCTTAACATTATTGTAATATATTTTTATCTAATATTTATAATTTGTATATTATTTATTACTGTAAGAAGCGCACTTGAACATATCCACATGAAAAATGCGCTATACAAATGTAATTTCATTATCATTATCATTATGCATACTGTAAGTTGAAGGCCCTATCTGATCCAGAATATAACTGGCCATTTTGAATGTTTTCAGGGCTGAGCTGAGACACAGCATAGTGCACTTGCTATGGAGTATGGTGGCCATGCCAATAAGAAGCTACAATCGTCCACAAAATATTTGAGACAAACCCCCTCACCCGATTTCAATGTTGTTAGGCACTACAATATAGTTTAATTCCAACATCATATGTTAAATTTCAACTGCCAGTATTATTATTATTTCTTATTATTATTTAATCTTATTTAATCACGGTAGCCTTTCAGAAGTACATCTGTTTTTCAAAGGGCCATGAGTTCATTAAAATATTTACATAATTGGAGAGAAAAAAAAAATCTAAAAGCGAGAAAAACAGGCCACTTACATAAACTATTTACATGGATGCAATTAATTACACTATAGATTAGGACCAATGGATTAGGACATACGTTTTATGACATTCTTAAAGGAGTTGACAGAGACATCTTCTATTAATGCTTGATCAATAATATGATTAGGTAGGTTATTCCAACTCATAGCTCCTCGATAGGGAAAGCTATTTTTTAGAAAATTTGTCTTTGGCTTAGGTAGGTAAATATTTCTATTGTTGCTACGTAATTGATAGTTGCCGTTTTCGTTCAAGTTAATTGTCTGCATTAGGTAGTCGGGCACTAGACCTTTAAGGGCCTTAAATATCATTACAAGGTCGCGCTCGTCTAAGTTGTCTTTTATAGGTCTCCAGTTTAAGGTTTCAAAAATGTTAGTTGATCGTATGTCGTAACTGGATCCTGTTATTACACGAGCAGCCCTTTTCTGTAACTTATATAATTTATTAATGTGATCAGCGCGAAAACCATGCCACACAGTTGAGCAGTAGGTAAAGTGAGGAAATACAAGTGAATTATACATTGTAATTAAAACATCTTGTGTAACAAAATCTCTAGCTCTTCTTAACATTCCGATACGTGCTGAAATTGTTTTACATTGTTTACTGTTATGTTCTTCCCATTTTAATTGTTCATCTATAATTATGCCTAAGGATTTTGTGCTTTCAACTCGTCTTATTTGCTCGCCTGCGATTGATATGTTTGTAGTATTTGTGCCAATAGAATTTAATTTTTGTCGTGAGCCAATTATCATGTATTCAGTTTTTTTACGGTTTAAAGTCAGCTTGTTTGCGGTTAACCATGTGTGAATTATTTCTAAATCGTGATTCAGTTTACTCTCTATATCTGCGGATGATAGTCCGTTACATGATAGGCTTGTATCATCCGCAAACATTGTGGCACTTGTTGTTACAAGGCAATTTGGCAGATAATTTATATAAAGGAGAAATAGCAACAGGCCTAAATTTGTCCCTTGAGGAACTCCGCAGGTAATTGTTCTTATATCCGACATTTTTTTGTTAATTTTACATATTTGCTGCCTCTTCCTTAAATATGACTGAAACCATTTGTGTGCTGTACCCTTTATTCCATAAGCTGTCAATTTAGATAAAAGAATATTGTGGTCCACTGTATCGAATGCTTTTTTTAGGTCTAAGAATAGTACACCATTGAGACCTTGGTCCATGTTTATTAACCATTCATTTGTTAAGCTCAGTAGTGCAGTTTCAGTTGAATGGAGTGATCGAAACCCTGACTGGTTTGGTGATATGATACAGTTTTCGTCTAAATAATCAAGTATTTGTGTATAGACAATTTTCTCAAAAATCTTTGCAATTGTTGAAATTACTGAAATAGGTCGATAGTTTCCACAGTCTGATTTTTTACCTGATTTATAGATAGGGGTAACCTTGGCGACTTTCCAATCTTCTGGAATAATTCCAGTACTTAACGATAGGTTGAATAGATGATTTAGGGATGGTATTATGCTGTCGCCAGCTTCCTTGACCAATTTTGTAGATACGTTATCAAGACCTGGTGACTTGTTAGTTTTGAGGTTCTTAACCACTTTTATTAGCTCATCATAGGTTATGGCATGAAATTCAAATGAATTTGACACTGGAGTGACATAACTCAAAGGATCAGTATTTGTGATGGGGATGTTACTAGCTAGTGTAGGCCCAACTGAACAAAAATAGTCGTTAAATTCCTGGGCTATATTTACATCACCAGTTATGTCAATCCCATTGACCTCCACTTTATTAACCGTAGTGGATTTGGAGTGTTTATTTAAAAGTTTATTAATAGTTTGCCAACACTCTTTACTATTTTTGCAATCTTTCAGCTTGGCATTAAAATATTCAGTTTTGCATTTCTTAATGAGTTTCGTAATTTGATTTCGGCATTTTTTATAAGCCTTATGGTAGTATTCAGAGTTTAATCTGACGGCTTTCTTTTTGAGATCATCTCTTTGATAGGAAAGAGATTTAATTTGATCTGTTAGCCATGGTGCATGAGCAATTTTAACTCTTCGGGTTTTAATAGGTGCATGAGTATTGGCAACGTCTACAAAAATTGTTTTCCATTCATTCCATGCAGTGTTTGGTTCAGCAGTAAAGCTGTACGTTTTAAATATTTCCTGTAAGTCATGCTGGAACGCTGCCGTGTTAAAATTTTTGAATTGCCTTGTCTCGACTATTTTTGGAGGCTGTTTAGGGATACTCACTTTACGGCAAATGTATACAAGGTTGTGATCACTAATCCCTAAGTCTATCACCCCACTATCAATAGTTTTTGTGTCTTCTACTTTAGTGATCATCAAATCTATTAATGTTTTGCTATTTAAGATAGTTCTTGTTGGTATCTGTGTATGTTGCTGTAATTGATATATGTCTAAAAGGTCTGAGTTTTTTAGTACGTGCGTCTTTGTTTGTTGAAAGTAAATCACAGTTAATGTCGCCGGTGATAACTAAGTCTTTGTTTTCATTCTCCATTAAATGCAGATTATTTTCAAATTTTTCAAAGAGTTCAATAGGGGAGTTTGGTGGTCGATACCATGTAGATATCAGAAAAGGTTTACTTTTAGGTTTTTTAATCTCAACACAAATTGTCTCTAAGTCTTGGACGAGTAAATCGTGTCGCTGGATATAAGGAATATTATTTCTGATGTAAATGGCAACTCCGCCGTGCCTATTTCTATCACGGCGTATTATGTCATATCCACTAATCCTGACATCGCGGTCATTGAAACTTTCATCTAGCCTTGTTTCGTTAATTGTAATTATATCAAAAGATAGTTCATTGATAACTATAGTTAGTTCGTCTAAGTGTTTTGGCAAGCTAGCTATGTTAAGATGGCCTATTTTAAAGCCCTTTAGTTTCGGATACGAGTGCTGTTCATAAATAGATGATGAAATAGATTCATGATTTGAGACGTCTAAGATTTGAGGCGAAGTACAGAAACACGAGCGTCTTTGAGACGTCTAGACGTTGCAACAATTTGTGTAACCCAACATTAATTAAGCAGCAATGAATATTTCAGTGCACCTTAATGCACATAATTATATTATTATACACTTATCTGTTTAATACTAGGTAATAGAGCTTAGAAGTGCTTACGTCACGCCAGCACCAAACAATGAACTGCAATGCAATGTGGGACACACGTAGGAAAAATAATAACCTCATGTTTGTTTCAAAACTATGTGACGTAAGCACTTATAAGGTTTATTAGCAACAGACTTTATGATATAGTACTATGATAAGGACTTTATGATATAGTACTATGACATGTACATTTTCTGTAGTGTATGGAATAGCTACGGAATACTAAAGCCGCCCCACAAAACATTGCCCACCTCCTCCACAAAGATCACCACCATGTGATGTCGAGTCACCAACAACACCAGTTTGGACAACTGAAACTACAGAGTTTGGCCCCATTCAAAGAGGACCGTTTGGCCAAGTTCTTCTACCACCAGGAATATTTGAGGAAATACTAGAAAACAAAGAGAATTTAGTTAACAGTATGTGAATATTGATAAAATAACCTGCATTTATTTTGATTAATGAGAATTGGATAGACTACATACCAAATGTAAATCCTCTATTAAGCCCCCACTGGGCACTATTTTTTGGGAGGAGGCTTTAATGAAATGGGAGACTTTAATAGTTTAATATTGATTTAGATAGAACAAAATCTAGTCAAATAATTTGTTCTTGTACTAACACAAACTTCTCAGACAGAAGAGCTTACTTTAGAGGGGGCTTATTAGAGGATTGATTGTATAAACTTTACCTCAATGTTTATAGCTATCCTTTTCTCCAATTTCACAATGACCAATACATTTGTTTGGAATTAGACAAATCATAGACAATCAAAGGAATTCCTTTGATTGTCTATGGACAAATGAAGCAAGTTACTTATAACAATTTGTGTAATTTATTCCTTCTTGTTCTGTAGGCGGGAGTCTTACGGAAGAGCTAAATAAAGTTAAAGCACATATGTACAAAGAGTTTGTAAAAAATGGGAAGAACCCAATTTATGAAGCAGATCAATTTAGAAGATTTTGTCAAGCAGCTGGAGCCCAAACCTTGTTTGACGTTATCCTCTCTTCAGTAACCAATCCTCGTCATTCAGAAAACCGACTAAAATTGAATGAAAAAAGAGTGGTAGGAATTATTTACACCTAGTTTACTGCCTTAGTCAACGGTGCAATACCATGCAAGTGGATCAAGCTCTTTATCTACAAACAAGCCATGCAAACCAGGAGGCGATTCTGACTGAACATCAATTAGGAAACACTTGTTCGAGAAGATTAATGAATAACATTAGAAAATCACTCAGTTCCAACCACAGAGATGATCTTCAACAATTTTTTGCAGATGCAATAAAAAATGAGTGGCTGTTGGTTCTTGTAATTGATGATTATACAACTATTCATACCATTCGACGGCCAACACAAACCAAATGCTCCCAAGCCAACAATATGTGCACAATCATTGTGAAAGCATTTAAAGAGATACCTGCTATCAGACGCCCAAATGACATAACACTATTACATGATCCAAACGGAATGAACATAGAAGCATTATTGGCAACAATCACATCTCCAGTCCAAATGTCTATGCTAGGCAACAGTTATGCAGCAACACTTTCCAGCTGGATAACAGATGACTTTTTCAATCCAGAATCACAGTTGGACAGACTCAGGGATCACCAATATTGTGAAGGCCACTCGGTTCGTGACATGCGGAAGATGGATAACGTCCACTTGGTTAATTTTGTCGAGCTGACCCTAAAAGGAAAAAATGCATTTGAAACAGCATATGATATAGCTATGGCAACTGACTTGAAATCCTATGCAATGAAGTTTGTTGTTATCCAACCTGGTGATTGGCCATGTCAATTTTACTGCAGGCAGGTGGTGTACCAGCAAACCTATAACGTGCAAAAGAAGAAAACCTTCAAAACAGCAGAGAGAAAGGCAAATCCTCTCTCTGCAAAACCTATTCCATCAATCAACATACCTGATCATAAATACTGCTTCAATATCCCACACTCCCCAACTGTTGCTGAACAATAAACCACATCTCTTTTGCAACCCAATTCTCCATTTAGTTCTTTTGCTCCAATGATGGGTTCCCTGCACATCTCCCTCAATAGTAAGGAACATGTGTTTTTGACATTCTGGCCATTCTTTCAGCGATGCCATGAGAATCTGTTTCCAAATTGCAAACTACCTGAAAAACCAAGACCTTGGCGTATTAATTTACTTCTGGAACTTGTTTATGGAGGATGGCTTTTAGTCCGTTCAACAACTTTAAAAACATTTTCCAAGTCAAAAGATCTTCAATATGGCACCCTGCTCAATCTCCTGGACAATTACATACCACTGGTTTTGTCCATATACTCTGTCACATTCAAATCAAACAATTTTAACGAATACTTTAATGCCATGATTCGTATTTGGGTTATGTTTGTGTGTTTGAAACGCCGCCACTACAACAAGTCCATAATTGTATGGTTGTCAATGATCAATCATTGGGGAAGGCATTTTCCAAAACTTCATAATGTAATGAAACAATGGCAAATCATCGGTGATGAATACCCAGTTGAGAATGCACACAGCATTATTCGTTCCCAAACATTGGATTCAGACACAGCAGAAACCCTTTCCAGCAAAGTCAAAGCCATTTTCCAATCTAAAGAAAAACAGAAAAACTTCCGTTCTTCCTTTACTCCTTCGATGAAGTTTTCCTTCTCAACAAAACAACTCCAATTCCTTAAATCGAAAGCAGCCGTCACATTAACCTCTGTGTTTGAATCCATTGTTCACCACCTAATGAACACTCAGTTCGTTGAGAAATTAAACAAGAAAAAGAAGGGAACAGAAGTGAAAATGCCTCAAATATTTGGAGAAAGGAAATTAAGTGATTGTGTGCTACCCCTTGGATACCATGGTAGACATCAGCCAAATGAAGATTGCAAGTGTGATATGCCATCATGTACCACATCCAAAGAAGAAACTTGGAAGATGTTTCCTGGTTGTTGGCACTCCTTCCACGAGTCATGCATTAAGGATGGCAGTTGCCCTCTTTGTTCCAAGACGCTCTCTGAGAAAGCAAAGGAATTAGGTAAGAAGTGCAAAGATGCAATCCTGTTCCCACATCAGAAAGCAGACCAAACCCCAGATAATTGAAATGGAAATCAAAATGAATATGATGATGAAAACATCCAGTTAGGAACAAATGATGAAATCATTGCTGATGTTACTTCATTAAATAACAAGATTTCCAATTTGTGCCCTACTCTTCCAAAGAACGACCATCGATTCCTGCCACTACAACCACCACCACCCAAGATATCAAAACCACAAAACCCAGTTACACCACCATCACGAGTTACACTACCATCGAAAGCACCTTCAGCTTCATATGGGAGAGACCAACTGCTTCCAGCTACACCACCATTGCGAGAGTCAACACACAGCAACACAGGTCAACACCACATCAGCAAAACCTTGTCAACCACAACAACGTATATTCAGAATTGAACACCTGGTATTATAGAATGGCTACTTCCTCAAAGCATTTCCCAATCCAATCTTTCCTACAACACATCTGGAAGTAATGCATGCACAATAATATCAGTCTTGGGTGCACTAAATTTATCAAGGAAGAGTTACTTTCCAACATCTGTTCAAGAAATAAATGAAGCTGCTGCCTACTTCAAACAAATAATGATAAAAGGAAACAGATTATATCAGACTCTCAACATCGAATCATCTACACCAAACTTGCATGTGGTGGATGTCTCATTGACCAAACTACCAGCATTAACCATGACCATTAAAGAGGACACTGGCTTTTTCACAGAAGATGATATGGTGCAAAAGCTCGAAAGCATTCGGCAAGAAAATCCTGTTATGGTCGGTGTTCTGATTATTGCACCTGACAAATCAATGGTCATCTATATGGATCAAAAGAAAATTGGTCTCATGGACAGCCATTCTCATGGGCAACATGGTGGACTTATTGTGACATGCTTTTCAAGTAATGTCAAAGACTTTGTCACATATGTTTCAAAAATGGCAAAGCAATATTGGAATACTAGCCTTGCTGGAGCAAACTTTACCATCTTAGAGCCGTACATATAAAACGTTCATGGTCTAAGAACATAATGAAAAACAATCATTAGAAACCAAGAATATAATTCAATAGGTTTTGTAAGTCGAAACTGATTATCAGTTTAAACCAATTGTTGCATTTAAAGTACATCTTGGATAAAACAATGTTGTACACTAGCCTTCACTAGCCTTAAATTCGTTTGGCAATGCTACAATAACATGTACAAAACATTGACATTTTGACAACTTTTTATCAATTATTATAAATGACAATTAAATAATATATGTATTATAGTTCATGCCTAGTCATAATCACATGCTCAAAAACATATTTTAAATGAATGAGAAGTTGTCTATATTACACTTCAAACACCTTCTTTATAGTTTTTGTTAAAATTTGTTCAGCCAACAAGTGTCAATGGCCGCCAAGCTTGATTTAGAGCAGGCTTTTAGCCAGAAGGGCGTACAGGGACGCCCCTAGAACAAAAAATGGACGCCTTTGGACGCCCAAATTCTGGGGGAAAAGGGAAATTAGTTTCATTTATTTCCCTAAGTATATTAATATATCTGAAACGAAATAGCTCCAATTCTCATTATCATTATACATTTGACATTTTGATCAATTTGATGGTGTACCTGGCTGAATGAAAATGTCGTAGTTAAGCAAAGAAACATAGCGGCACAAACTCACAAAGCCAAGTGTGTTTGAAAAAATTAGAACGAGCTTGGAACAGATTTTGACATGAACTTCAAAGGTTTTCCAGAGGAATGTTTTCTCACACCCCCCCTTACTGTAGATGTATCGTTGTACCAAAATTGGACGCCCCTTTTAGGACCCTAGCTAAAAGCCTGATTTAGAGGCCTGATCATTCTAACTTCTCATCTTATTGAAATATTTTTTGATCATGTGAACAGTATGGCACTTGGGCCTGTAAATAGTAATTAATATTATGAATCAAGTGTATTATACAACCCATGATATAAATTAGCGCTATATAGAACTGCCTCATTGATAAATCACTTTTATCTTTGTCCAGGGCTAATCCAATTCATCAATTAAAGCTGTCTTGGGTAAATAGAATTAAACACGATTTATTAAACACCGGGGCATTTCTTTACAGCACTAACTTTATGTGGATCACATTGGGTCACATACAGATCCGAAATATTTATTAAACATAATGTTCATGATTTCATGTTATATTTTCAAAACCAACGTTATTTAATAGACAAAATAGTTTAAATTAAAGTCCCATGACAGTTGATGAGAGTTGACAGTCGCACATTGCTACAGAGGACATTTCAAGCTCTACTTTAACAAAATAATGGTTTGAAAGTGTTCCAACTTGTTTTAACTTTTCAAGCAGAATACATTTGAATTTATACTACATTTCAAAACACGCGCCATTTCCGCCATACATAGTTTGTATGGCTATGAATTGCCATGAATTTATACAAAAACGGGCAAAACGACAAAAGATATTTAATTTACTTTCTTACCCACAATTTAACAAATCCTCTCGACCAGATGAGTCTGTTTTTAGGCGATTTTGTGAACGAATTAGCCGACAAACAAGGACACGATGTCTGCACACAATGGCCACTTCACAACGAAATCGAGTAACTGAATCCTTTGCAATCTTCTGACATCCCAGGTGATTTGCAAAAAGAAATTATAAATACTTTAATGAACATGTCTACTTTACCCGAACACGTCAAAAAAAGGAGTAAAAACAAGCTGAAAACACGAAAAATTAAAACAAAATAGTTCGATTCGAATGATTTTCAAACTGACAAAATTCGTCACCAGATCCCTGATATCCACACGGAAAGCCCACGCGGACGCATGTTTTTAGAGCCAGCAAACATTGATGTCAGTGGTTGTCAGAGGGAAAGAAGAAAAAAAATCATAATAAATATTAGAAAAAAAGGGCAATAAACACCATTTTTTTTCAATAATTGACAAAAAAATAATGGGAATTAATTATTTAGTCTTCCATACACCCTTTTACATCATATCTTTAATATTTTTTTTATGAAATATAATGAAATATGAACAGCTACAGCAACAGTCTCATGCCAAATTAAGCCTAAGCACACATATATCCACTCCCTTCCAGGAAATAAAGGTTTCGAAAGAGTTTCCATTATTGTATTATGACGCAAGCAACATTATACAAAATTTTCATTCAGATAATTTGATTGTGTTTTGGAAAGACGATCAGAAATAGGAAGCAACATATCGCACAGGCCAATATATATGTATGTTTACAGACGAAAAAAAGTGCCGCGCGCATTTTTCCCAGCATACCCACTAACTTTTCCGTGAAGGTTGACTAATAAGGATAGTTTTAAGCCATATTTCGGAGAAAGGCAATGGGCAAAATTTTAAGATATTTTTATTTATATGCCATATCACCACATAATTTCACAAAGCAAGCATGCCTATATTCAGGATTGCCGTTAGACTCTTAAAACTGAACAAATCAATACGGCATTTCCTATCTCATAACAACCAATACTTGAACATTTTCAAAAGCATTTTTGCAGCAATTTTTACTTTATAACAAACCAATACAGGAGCAATTTCATAAGCATGTGACATGACATTTTCACTTCACAAGTGGATTTGTCAATTACAACATCTAGCACATTTTTCCCATGAATAGCTCAGGTTTTAATAAAACAAAGTATGATTTAACTTTCATAAAATATATTTTCTAACTAAAGGCAAAAGGCCAGTTTTTACTAAAGTGCAAGAGGAATATGTGTCATTTTCATCAAAATATGTATTTTAAGACACTTATTATTCCAGATGAGGAAGGACAAACAAATTATTGAACATACCTGTGGAAACAACAACAACTGAGCTTCTATCAAGAGTAAAATATGAACACTTCCTTGTTTCCATACTGCTGTACCCTGCTTCTGAAACTCTGACAATGAGTGAAACATTTCCACTTGTCGCCCATTTGTAAATAAAAATTCTTCGCACGTTTTCATGCGATTAAGTCGTTATATCGTTGCGTACAAGTACTACAACTTAATCTTTCAAGAAACCTTTATTTTCCATGAACAAACCAGTAAAAGAGGACAAAAAATCCTCTCACAATGCATATTTTCAGCGTTCGAAGAATCAAAAAATTAATGTTTGTTGAAGAAATGCGCCCGCAATATTTAGACAGCGACAACAGAATGCCCAGCTGTTACAGGTGGGCAATTTGTCTGAGCATGCGCGAAGAAAATCAATATGGCGACATATATTAGGAGCCGACTCGTCCCCAGTCGTCTCTGTGAGCACGCGCAAGCATGGATGGCGCGCGCAGGAGTGGAAGGGAAGGGAGAAACGAGAGAGACGACTGGTAGATCCTGTTTTCAAGATGGTTGCAAAATTAATGGCGGATTTTCAAGAAAATCATTATTTTCAAAATAGACGGTTTCGTCTCCAACTGTGCCTGTTAAATGTTTATAACTATATATTTTGGAAGCTTCAAATGCGTGTGTTTACATGCGCAGCAAGGCGAGACTTTTTTTGAATTTCCGTGGCATGACAACAGTTTGTTGCGAACGTTTTCTCGGCAAATTTTCTACTAACCTGAATATAAATCCCACTAAACTGTAGGCATTTTCACAAGCTTTCACACCATCCGCGGTAGGGGTGTATGTCGTTAAATTTCGAATTAATATTATTAAGCGGTTGAAACCAGACATAATATATTCCGACTAGAATGTGTATTCCGACGGCAGTTTTTACACCCTCATTTAGGCAACGAATTCTCGCTCAATATTAAAGCTACAACATTATAGCTCGTACCAAAATGTAGCTGATTTCGCCAGCTATCTGACAATATGCGTAAAATTATTATACATGTAATATTCGCACATATATAGGTCGAATAAAAGTCATGTTTATGTTGCATTAAACTTTCTAATTATACATTCTGGTTTCAAATTTTGTTTACATTGTGTGATTTTGACACACACCCCCCCCCCCCTCGTTTAGACAACGTTTTCTCGTTCAATATTGTAGCTACAGAAATATAGCTCCCGCTAAAATGTAGGCATTTTCACAAGCATTCAAACCATCTGCGTTAGGGGTGAATGTCGCTAAATTTCGAATTAATATTAGTGGTTGAAACTCGTGCTTAAAACCAGTAGTCTAGGACCTGTATATGAGTTTGTATGCGATTCATTTAGGACAGGTAATCTCAACTGTTTTAGGGTAAAATGACCATGGCGGTCAACATGGCATATGTGCGAAAACCTGAATCCGGGGCGAAAGTCCTGAAAATGACCCCGCCCTGAAACGGCAGTGTCGACATAGCTCTAACTTCAGAAAAGGAAAAGCGATAGCCTTTCTGAAGTGCTTATAGTGTTTAGAAGGGTTGCTTTTAGGGGTGGTCATTGGAAGGAAAAATTTGTCGAAGTATAATATTTTACCAGAAAATGACTATGCACCACCCCAGGTAAATTGCTGATTATGCACAAAATAACTAATATGCCTGGCAGAAATTAAATATTCTTATTTCCTAAAAAAAATTATCATGGGGTGAAAAACTATGCTTAATTTAATATAAATATTGTTGATTTCATAAGGATTGTCATTGTTTTCTTTAAATATAATACATTTTATTTCACTTACCCCCCACGAAAACACGATTTCAGCCATATTTTGCCGTCTTGTTTGCTTTTTATCGCCGAATCTCGCAAATATCATCCAGTTATTGTACTTTTACATAATCATAAATGGCTGAAGAAGATTTCAAAGAAGGTTTCATCCACTTTTGTAACAGTGCAGTGTATTTTACCTTCGATATTGTGTCCTTCGATATTCCGCCAAATTGCCGCCATTTTAATGGCTCGCCGCTTCTCTGTCTGATAAATGCAACTTCTTCGTTTCCATATGTATTTAGATTACAGTATCCAAGAGTACTTCATTGTAGAATAGTCCCAATCCAAAAATTGGCAACATTTGTCCCATTAGGAAGGAAAAATCCTCCCGTATACCATTTAGGTTCAAAATAAAAAACAAATCATTTGAAAGTCACGCGCAATCTTCGCGAAAACTTCTCGTGGACATGTACCCCACCGGAATTAGCACCCGGAAATTAGATACCGGAACTTGATATAGTATGACGTAACGGGAAAATGCCCGGATATAAAACACATGTTGTCTTGATTTAGTTTTGAGAGTTACCGAAAAAGCGTTGTAAAATACCGAGGAAAACGTACGAAATAAATATAAGTAATACACCGAACCCGTGTGGAAACTTAAGTAACAAATTGGGGGCTCAGGCGGGAATTCCTATGTGGAAAGATGAAGTGTTTAAAGTATTGTTTGATGATGTTTTAACGTGCGAGTAACGACGAATTTTATAAACTGAATACGAGCTATGGCCGCCGACGATAAATAAATTATTTTGGACACCAAAGTACTGTCTCTGGGGAAAAACGAACTGATCGAATTTGCCTTGTCGTCGAAGATTGATAAATCAAAGGTAGAAGGAAAGAGTAAGGTACAAATAATTAAAGAGATTCGTAATGCACTTGAAGTAAACTTAAGTACTTTTACCGAGGAAGACGATAAAGTCAACTATTTAGATGGGTTAATTTCTGCCTTAAATCCCGAGACGAAAAAGCGAAACTGGGGCCAAAATATCGGAAGAACAAATTGAGATACAAAATCTCGAGAAGGAATTGTCGGAACTCGAAATAAAGCGAAAGGCGATTGAAGATAAACTGTCGCATACGAAGAAATCTAAAATTTCTGAAAATGAAAGTGGAAGTACCACTAAGATTTCTGCTGAATCAGCAAAATCACCTTTGTTTGGGTTGAGTTCTACGATTCTCCATCGAGATTTCAAAATCCAAGGTATTATTGGGCAACCCTCCCAAAAAGATAAGTTGGGCTACCAAGCTTTGATGTCTCAGATAGAGACGGGTAAAGATAAAGGCTATTCAGACAAAGAAATTATGACCGCTGTTATTCGGGCTGTGCAACCGGGGATGCAACTTAGAAGTTATCTTGAAAGTGTGAGTGGGTTGACCCTACCTAAATTGCGCAAAATACTAAGGTTCCATTTTCATGAGAAAAATGCGACGGAACTTTATCAAGCACTGACAAACATGACACAATAACCAAATGAAGACCCACAAGCATTTCTTATGCGTGCGCTTACTATCAGACAAAAGATAATTTATGCTTCAAAGGAAAGTGACAGTCCTATTAAGTATGACGGCGCATCTGTGCAAAGCCTATTCCTACACGCTCTTGAGACTGGGTTAAAGGATGAAACTATACGTGCCAAAATACGCCCATTGACCGACAATGCTAATGTGTCAGATGAGCAACTCATCGAAGCTGTGTTTATGGCTGTTTCTGCAGAGACAGAACGGAGCAACAAATTTAGCCATTTTCTAAATAAGGTTCGGGACACGAAAGCTCGTGTTTCTGCACTACAGAATGAGGAAAGCGTGGGCGAAAAGAGGGAAGTTTTAGCTGCAATTAAACAAGTTAGAACTGAGTTATCAGCAGTGCAGTCTGAAGTTAAAACACTTCGTGAGACAGTTAGCCAGCGAAATTCTAAAGAACAACCCGAAGGCGAAAGTAGGAATGTAGCACCCACTAAGAGATCAAAGTGTGACAAGTGTAAAACATCTGGGGAAGAATGTAATCACTGTTTTCATTGTGGTGGGTTAAACCACATAGCACGATATTGTCGGTCACAATCAAGAAACCCTTCGGGAAACGGTCGAAGGCTACCCCCGCGGGACAGGGAGTAGCCGGTGAACAAAATACGACGTCCCATTGTAGTAATTGCTTGAAAATCTTAACGAACCCGCTGCAACAGTGTTCTCGATGCAAGTCAGTTTTATATTGCTCATTAGAATGCCAACAACAACACTGGTCTAGTCATAAAA